TGAAAATCCTCAAGCTGAAGACACACAACAACACACAAAAATAACACACATACGAAATGTGACATATGAAATGCAACGTAATAAATTGGATTCTCACATAAAGAGGTGAATGAGATGCAATTGCTTCGTGTGAAATGACGCACAAAACTAGTTTGAAAATGGGAACGCACACAAGTGCACACCGATGGAAACATCAACGCGTTAAATAATCAAGTTGGTAAATTCGAGTGGACGATCGACGCCGCGATAGTGAAAGACGAAAAAAAAAAAAACAAATCAATAAAACGAATTGATATAAACTCGATGCACTTGTTAACGAAAGTGGGCGCAATCTTTTTTCGCTACTTAAATGATGATTGCTCTTTAAGTGCTTTCGCATGAATATATAAATCAGTCAAGTCTCTCTCACTTTCGTGCAACCGCATCACATCGATTTTCAACGATATTCGTTCCAAAACAAGTATTTTGATTTCGCCTTCTCTTTACATCTCTATCTCTGTCTTGCTATCGATGTTCAATCCATGTTAAACTTTCCAAAATACACCGAAAAAAAATAATGCCCGCAGAACAACAACAAATATTGACCACGATATAAATGAAATGAACGGATTGAAAATGAATAACGACGTTATTAACATAATAATAACTTACGATGAGATTAACAAATACACAAGGGACACAAAAAATCAAACGTCCACGCGGCTGCACTTTGCCATCGCCTGTCCGAAATCATATATGTTGCCCGTATGCAAAACAAAGTGTCGAAATTGGAATAAGAAAAATCTCCTTGCGCTTTGATTTCGGATCAGTCTGAATCTACGTAATAATGATTACCTATTCAACTGCAAAGAGTATATCGTTAAAGCGTTTATGACCGTATGAGTATTCATATCTGGCTAATATTTTATTGATTCTCATGTAATAAGAATGGTTTACAGCTAGAAATTGCTCGCAATTTGCTGTTTAACTTTGTTTCTTCGTTTTCATCGTCTGATGTAATTGGCTATTGCTGTCAAAAGCGCGTCGAAGAAGCGCATTCAATATGCGTGAATGTTAAACATTTTCAAACCGAAAAAAAGAGATATCATAAAACTAATTTATGAGCAATAAAATCGTATGAGTGCATATTGGTCGTAAATTCATTTCGATAATAACGATAGATAATGTCTTGAAATATGTGCATCCGCAGTGTGTGACCATTCAAATTGATTAAATGTTGACTAAATGTCTTAATTGCATTTCCAGCGATCCTTATGGTTGTGAACAGCATTCTCCTTCACATGCACCATCGCGCACATTTCAAATGTTCTAAATTAAATTCATGACATTTATTGAAAACTATATAAAGTGATTAACAATACTAGAAAAGTGCTAATATTCTCCAATGCCAAGCTTAATGGGGTATGTGAACTTCGTGGCTCGCGAGCATCTTATCGAGATGGTGATGTTGTGCATGTAGAGTGGTATACATGGAAACCACAAACATGAGTACGCCCGCGTCCATAAATGACATGCGGCAAGAAAATACGAAAAATAAAATGAAAACGACTGGTTTTGACCATTTCAGCTGTGACCAATTTTAATATGTGAATCGCATTTAAAATTCTCATTACTAAAGTATGTCTGGTGAGGTAAACTATTTCGATTACCTTCTATGTGCCACGAAGAAGAAGAAAAAATGGGCAAACATTTCATTGTTTTCAGTGGCTTAGCAATAAAATCGATTAAACAATTTATCTGATGTGACAGCATAGAATTTCATTTACCAAGAATGCTACAGCCGATGACAATGATAAAAACAACAACTACGATAATGATGACGACGGTCAGACATCGTTCAAATCGCATAGATTTTTACTAAATTCAATTGTAAATTTGCCAATCATAGTTGATGTCAATTTTAATAAATTATTAAAGTGGATTAGAATTCACGTTAATTTCGGATTAGCTTGTAATTATTCATTTAACGATAAATGCTCAAACACAACCGATTGAATAGCGAAAAAGTAACACATCTTTTTTTGTTTGTTCATAACATGAAATAAACTTTTCAAAGAAAAAATAATCATTGAATAAAAGTCCCGTTGGTTGGGCATACTATTTGAAAATTTCAATGGGATGCGAATATAAATGGTTATTGAAAATTAAGATTTAATTATCTAATTGTGCACAACGGAGATCTCACTTCATGGGCATTTTGCCAACTGGTTCTATAAAGAAAAAAAAATCAGCGAACTGAAAAGAACGAGACAACAGGCAACAAGATAAAATTTAATAGAGTTTTTGCTACTTGAGAACGCAATTCATCGTTAAATACTTGAAGAAAAATCGTTTGAACAGTGTAAATACGCCAACAAAATCAATTGAATTTTACCCATAGCTAGTTGAGCGAAACGAATGAACTAACGATGAAAAAAAATGTTTTGAACCAAACCATACAAAAAACTCGCAACAATTTTTTTTTTTTCATTTAAGCTTACAGAATGACAGGCGTGCGAGATTCGCCAGAAATATTAAATGTTCAGAATCATTTTTTACTCTGCTGAAACGGGTACACATTTCATGTGGAATAGAATATACGGGATTCTATTAGTTTGCATGCATTTTGTAAACTAAAAAAAATGTTGATGCCATAAAAGAAACCGACTCAAAAATATTTCACTGAATCTTCAAAATGATGAAAAGACTCACAGCGTTTAAATTAAGCAACAACAAGAAAAAGCGGAAAAAAAATCAAAATGTATGATCGCAAATGATGAAGAAAAACCCTCAAGAATTGGAGAGAAAAAAGCACATCGAATGAAAAACATTTTACAGGAAAGCGAAACAAGCTTAAAGATCTAGAATGCTGAAGGTGTACAAGTACATGTACCAATCTATCGCATTCACAAATGGTAACGAGAACAAAACTCCTATTAAATAATGCCGTGGTCTAAAATACGGTCTGAAATCTATAGATATATAATATACGTATATAAAATATTTGAGCATGCTGCAATAATAATCAACCTGTGCTCGCGCACATGCAATTTTTCCCCTTTTTTCAATCGTTGCGCGCTTTGTTTAATTCTGTTCAACTTCATCGTTTTTTTATATTTAGTTTAATCCTCTGTTCGATATCTTATATTCATCGCAAATGCTGTTTTGTTGGCCGGTGTTTCGAGTTAAACGATTCGCGTTGTTTTTTTTTCTTCTTCTTCTCTTCTCTACCTTTTGTCGAGCAGATAAAAATCCAGTATTAGAGGAATTCAGTAATAGTTGCGCAGCAAAATGAAGTGAAAAAAAACGATGACGACGACGACGGCTAAGAATGATACCCAAAACTAAATCTCTTAACGAATCGAGCGTGTATATGACTTGGGTCTGTTTTTTTTTCTTAATTATTTTGGTCGTGTTTCTTTTCAATGAAATTCTACGTAGCCACGAGTTGCCTGTATTTGGCTTTAACGAGAGAGGAGGAAAAAATGTTTTACGATTAACACGATTCAATTTTTAGAAATAAATCAATATCAATCGAATGAATGCGATTCAGGTATGTTGCAACAGGCAAAATGTAATGCAATGCACAATTCAAATCTTGCGAATTGTGAGTGAATTGCGGTTGATTTCTAAAGTGAATGCATTTGCATATATTCGAAATATGTTATAAAAACGATCGTCGAATGCCGCATATGTGCATAAAAATAGTTTCATGGCATGCCATTGCAAACGACGTTAGACAACTTGTTTCGGCACGACGAACACAAACAAATAAATAAACGTAAAAAAAGTAAAAAAGAGCCGAAAAAAAGAAAGGAAACGACGAAACACACAACGAATTTATTCATCTTTTTCGCAAAGTGCATCGATATCGTGTTCTCATTCTTGTTCTTCTCGTCTCTTGAGTAATCTTTTGCAACAAGTACACATAGAACGTACACGAATGAAACCACACACTCACATACGCTAAGAGATCCTATGGAATTCAGTGTGTGCAATGAGCATGGCTGGTTTTTATTTGACTCTTTTGATATTTTCGTATGGGTAGAGATTCTCTTCGTTGGCAAGCCGCTCATGCTGCCGTTGTGCTGCATGCTTGTACATAACTTTTTCATCTTTCCTCACGTCTTTGCATTGATGATCACTATAATTTTGTCCATTAACCATTAAAACAGGCCTGTGTATAGTAACATTATTATAAATAATAAGAAAAAGAAGAAGAAGAAGAAGAAGAAAACGTCCAAACAAAACAAAGCACAATAGAAAGATCATAAAAAAGAACGAGCAAACACGAATCGTACTCATAAACGGTCTCATCCGTCGATGTATGAGTGCTAAACGAACAAACGCTGACTCATTGGGCCTGTGTGTAAATTGAGGGAAAAAAATGTTTGGAATATGTTTCACACGCACACGACTCAATTTGTGCATTTCGTACGACTTGTAGTACATTTTAATTTTTTGTTGTTGTTCGTCGTCTTGTGATCTCAAGTCATACTCGAATGAAACTGCACAACAGCCATTAAGAGTAACACTAACACATACCGACTTTATTTTGTTGCCATTATCATCTTGAGACCTGTACGCGATCATCGCATTCACTTCACAGTAGAAAAAACCGTCGAGAGACATTTGACGACACGGTCGATCAGTGCTGGTCACGTAGCTGAACGACGGAAGGAAATCAAAAGATAAATAGATCGCAGGTATGTGCGAACAATGAACGATGCGGACCAACTCTGCGCTTGTAGTGAGGCCAAGTTGAAACCATTCACCAATACGTTTAAACAATACAAAAGAGAAGTAGAAGATAGTGAGTGGTACACACACACACACACACACATATTTATAATTGTAGTATGAAGTCAGATACAGACATAAACACCGCACCAATACACATAACACAAAGTGGTAAAGAAAACCGAGAATGAAATAAATCGTTGTCGTTTTGGATTTTAACTTCAATTTACCTGTCGACTGCACAATAAAAACAAACAATTCAATCAGTTGGGCATGGCCTACCGTTGCTATCGTATGCTGAAAAATAAAGTGCACACGAAAGACTTCACTATTACAAATTCAAAGTGTATACGATACAATTTTATACTGTTCAGTCTGTGTCTTGCATTAGAGCGGCTTTAAGTGTTTCGTTTTTCATTTTGGAAACGAAAAGGAATCGCATCTAACAAAATATTTCTATATATATCTATATGTGCATAAGAAATATACGACTATAAAAGTCGGAACAAGTTGAACCATACCTGTGCACCGTGTATCTAGTGTGTTAGCTGTTGTAGCTCGTGCACACATTGTACAACATTCACATATATTGCAGTTGAGGCTCGATCGCGCGCGCGCACATCACACACATCGAGGAGCAAAAAGACATTCTATACGTGCTTGGATCTGCAAGAGAGTGCATTTGTGCCTGTTTATTTGATTTGCTATTGATCGTTTGTTCGTTCTCTCTCTCTTTCTCTATTGCTCTGCATGTGTAACAGGTGCCTGAAGCCTACTTCGGTGTGCTTGCACAGTGTGTTCAGTCAATTGTAGAATGCGCAACACCAGCATCTCTCCATCGGAATAGCAATGCAAAAATAGCAGAGCCATAGATACATCGAGAGAGCCGAGATACGTATCTCATCGTGCATTTGAAAAACTGTATTTCCGCATAACGGATATTTTGTGGCGTTGAATGCTGACTTTTGCTCGAGTATCTATCGCTTTATCGTGCGCGCTCACGCTCTTTATTTTGTTATTTTATTTGCCATCGTACTTATCCATTTAATTATTTGTTCGCTCATTCGCTTATTCTCATCATAAGCGCAGTCGTGTTATGTGTTAATGCGCATATGCTCTGTACATCATCGCCATCAACATCATCATATATAATTTGGTTGACCAGCAATTGGATTTTGGTATTGTGTGTCTCTCACTTCCTCGGCTTTAATTTCAAACATTTCGGTGTATGTTTTTTTTAATGTTCATTTTTTAAATCACCATAATAATCAGTGCGTGTGTGGTATTTCTGAGTTTGTTGTATCACTCTTTCTCTTCCTAAGTCCGTCGAAGCCATAGAAAAATAGCCGTTTTGTGATTGTGCAGTCAAATGTAGTAGACCAGCGTTAAAAGTGCATTTCAATTGTATATTGTGATCATCACTTCGTTCATTAGTGTTCATATTGTCTCTGCTACATAAATTATTTTACATAAATAATATAAATATATGTTTAAGTGATTTTTTGTAAGGTTTTGTCGAGAGAGAAAAAAAACGCAACATAAAAAGTAAATAATTTGTGTCATAGTATCAATCCGGAACACGAATGTTTCCAAGTGTTTCCAATTACTGCATGGAATGTCAACAAGCATATAGTAGCTACATCGACAACAAACCAGGAAATTATAAATCGCATATTTTTTTTGTTAACAGAATAAAATGCTTACCAAAAACCGAAAACAAACAATTAACAACATAAATTCTTTAGTGTAATCAAAGTGTGTGTTGCATTACATTGCATTATATTGAAGTGAAGTGAAGTGAAGTGAAGTGAAGGAGAGTGTTCGTCGAAGTGAGCGTATATGTATATTGAAAATCAGTGCCATCGAAAGTGTGTGCACGTTTGCCGATTATATTCATCTACCAAATGGAATTGAAAATCAAATGTTGTGCCGTTCGAAAATTGCGACAGGTTTGTTTCAATTCGCTAATAAATAAGTCTCATTACGTTTTATTTCATTTAAACATTTTTTTCGATTTAATGATGCCCGTTTCTCCTAGTCTATCGCTTTCTTTTCTTCGACTTCGTCTTCGTTTCTGCATGCATGTATTAAAAACAAGGCACATTACCTGTTTGTATATTTGATCACTTTTTTATGCAACAACAACAAAAAAATTCTCTGCGGTGGTTATTTGTTGTATTCCTCTTTTTTCGCGATGAGCGTAAATTTTCCGCAAGACAAGTGCATCGACCAAATGAGTGCTAATTACAAAAGACAGTTAGCCTCAATTTTGTTTTTTGTTTTTGTTTTTTTCTTTCGGTGCAAGTGCATATATGATCCATGACATATTGTTTGTGCAATGTCTGCTCTTTTTTGTGCGCTCTCGCCTTGGTTATTTCTTCTTCATCATTTTTTTTCGATCCGTGTGACATTTTTACGCTGTATTCTTTCCACGATGACAAGACAAAACAAGTTATGTTCGCAACCACAACACACATAATTCACATATAGGTATAATATACATTGTATATGGATTGAATTCGTACGATTGGGAACAAAAACGGTGGTGTCTCAAATGATACAAAAGCGCAACCAATGTATAACTGTATCACGCGGTGTACCTTTTTTTATTCTCTTTTCACGATATGAAAAATTATATATAGATTTTTTTTGTTGCCTTGGATTCCTTTGCGAAAAGAAACAAAAAAAAACGACACGTATGATTGGTACGAAATTTGGATGGTTAACCATATACCGTGTGTGCAGTAATTACTAGCTTCGCATTCAAAAATTTCATTAATAACTTACCCTAATGACTATTAGAGACCGCGATTTTTTGCCATAAGTGGTATGAGTTCGGTGTGTCCGATGTCAGTTCCATGTCATTTGATTTTCATGCCGTTAACATTTCGAATTTGAATCGCGCGACTCAATTTTCGATAGTGTCACATTACACACCGCGCATTACCTTGCACCACGTACCCGCTCAGCTTTGATCTCATTAATGTCTATGTGTTATAAGTTAAACGTTCGCTCACACAATCTGCTGTAAGCGAAGTAAATGTTTTGCCATTTTTCTTTAATTTGCTTTAATCTCTTTTTTTTATTATTGAATTCATGCTGTATCAGCACTTCAGTGCTCTCCAGTTCTCTTGCGATTGATTTGAACCGCAATTTTTTTCACCTCTTCATAATGTGTTGTGTGTGTGTTTTTTCGGTTAAACGAACATAGGCATTCACGCCACAAACAAACACATGGTATATATTGAAATGTAATTGTTAAGTATCATTCAAATTGAACTCAGTAGTCAAGCAAAATGCGCGTGCGCGCCATCGGTACTCACCAAAAAATAACCGAAAAAAAAACTTGATGATGAAAAGAGGCCCCGCAACAATAGCAATATAACAATGACAAAAATCTTAATAAAAATAAATCTTTCATGGGAGAATGGTGTGCGGATCAAAATTGCGATTGAGTTTCAACGCGGGAGCACATTCAATATACGTGATTTTTTTCTTCTTCTCTCGTTCGGGTTCATTTTGCTTTAGTTGGTTGTCTATGTTTTGTGTGTGAGTGCTTGTATCCAACTTCATCTTATTCACTTCTCAATTTCAACACACAACGCCACATTTTTCGGGACAACGAGAATAGAGAGGCAAAAAAGAGAAACTATCTTAAGCGAAAGGCAATTCAAGAAATGCGTGTATTGGATCGATCTCGTCGATGCCTAATGCATATACTTATGTCGCTGTGCGCTTAAGTGCCTCTATATGGGTCTATGTCAATATATATACTATACGATTTGCTATGAAATAATGTATAGATATGTATAAATTGTACGTGTAAAATACATAGAATGCAGCATATATACAGTCATGTGTAATGCTTGCCGCTTTGCTGATCCATGCGAACCATTCTCCTTTGTTTTTTTTTCTTCTGTGCGGTTGTGCTCATGCAGAAAGCCAAAAATAAGCGAACAGAATAAGATGAAATACGATGAAAAATAAAGAGAAACAGCAACAAGGGGGGATAGAGAGAGAGAGCGAAAGAAACTAAAAATGCTGAAGAATGAAAAATAAAACAAAACAAACCACCAAACAGAAAGGCGCAGAGAATGTTCATTTTATATAGCATAAATGAAAAAGTATATGGTTAAAGAGAACAGCTATAGTGTGAGCTGTAAGTACTTGCTGTATTTACGAAAATTTGAATCGATTCATCGATTGAACGAATAATACTATGTACGGTGCCCGCAATATATTAAGCGAATCAGGCATTTCAACGGCTCATAGATGTTTCATCCAAAAATGAATTACCGCTAAAAGTGCGATGTCACGGTTATGTATGAAAAGCGGTATCCAGATTAATTGGCATCACTGGTGTGACTAGACCTGCTTAGCAAGCATGAAATGATCAAGTTAGATCACCACACCAATTTTAAATAATATACGATATGTGTCTATGATGTACTCACCAACTTACCATACACATCGCTAAAATAGAAGGCATTATCTTGAAAACCGTTTGTCGTGCTGTATGCTACGAATATGACTGACTGAGCACGGATTTTATCATTTTATTTTATTGCATTTCATTCGAATGCCGATGCGGATGTTGCGGATATTGCAGCCCATCGGCGGCACCTACTCACACCCAGCCACACAATCAAATCACACTGTAATATTTCCACAGAAAAATAAATGCCGAGTCCGTGTGTTTATCGCATACAATTGTATATCTATATATAAAGCAGAATGTCAAATGCTAAGCAACTTCAGTACGAAAAAAAAGAAACGAGTAATAATAATTCTTAGATCTCTGAGTTTGGGCTCATGTGACGAAATTCGTCGGTGAGTATCAATTTTGCCATACAATACATGCACGCCAAATTAAGACCATAAAAATTGAGCCGATATCTCCAGCGCAAAAGCGTACAGCAGAAAATTAAACACAGTATGAGAAGAAGAAGAAAAAAACCTCCAGTTTAATAGCCATTTATGAGGTTGCGCGTTTAATTTTCGATTTTTTTTTGTTGTGGTTTTCGATTTATTGTTATTTTCGCTGCAACCTCACAAGACACTCTTGCGGTTGTTATTTTCTTTGGCTCTCTTTTTTTTCATCTTGGCCAGTGCGAACGCGCGCGCATTTCTGATCTTTGCATCGGGTTGTTGCTGCCATTTTTTGTATACCAATCACATTTGATTTTATTTTAACTTTCAATTTGTTAAAGATCTTGGCGTAAAAGCTAGCTGAATCGTTATCCCGCTACGTTTATCCAATCGCGTAGTTGCACTCACTTCGCTCTCTCGATAGAGCCCAAACGAGTTCCAATGGATCGAATTTATTGTGGTAATATACAGCATATTTATTTGCTCTCGCTGCAAATGCTTTGCAAACATACAAGTACAACGTTTGCATACGTACAAGTGTATAAAAATCCTCACTATTCCGATAATTGTTTCTTTAAAATTGTGATTTTGAGTTTTATTTTTTTTATTTTGTTGGTTTGGTTTCAACCGTGTGTGATCGCAATGATTTTTCGTTTGAAAAGTTTTTTGATAGAAAACAAAACAGAGCATTGATTTTGCACATGATTTTTATGAGCGCGAATCAAAGGAATAATGAAAAAGGAAATATTTCATGGAATTTATATGCAATTAATCGTCAGAAATTTCATACCAAAAATAGAAATATATAGAAACGGCCATTAAAACGATATGACGACCAAAACAAAAGTAAATATCAAATTGGTGTTTTTTTTATTGTACGTTTCGTACATAAATTTGTCGAACGCAACTTCAAATGTTAAATGTTGTCTCCGTTTGGTTGTTTATTTTTTCTTGTTTTCTTGATTCTATTGTGAGCGCATATTTTTCACTTGGTTCTGCAACAATTCGAATGAAAATGACAAATTATAATATTTCATATCTTATGAATAATTCAATTCATTGTTGATGGTATTCAGTAAATGTCGGTGTGTTGTTTCTTTTTTTAGAAACGATGTTGTTTGTCTTGTGATTGTCGGTGATTTTTCTCGAGAGAAAAAAACTTATTGTTTTGGGTGATATTTTAGTGTGTCAACCAGATTTCATTTCCGTTCGCTTTTTTCTGTGTATTTTTTTAGCATTAATACCGTTTCAATCTCTTTTTTTGTTCTTTTTGGTTTGCTATACCTCAGCAACGATCCCATTCACGGCGAGTCTCATGCAAAAGTGCTGATAATTTGATCTTTCTATAGATCAAATTGACAATATACAATAGATGAATCGGTGATATCGATAATTAAATGGTTCGCCTGTTTTGTGCTCTCTCTTTCTTATTTTTTGCACATTTGGTGAAAATAAAACGAGCATGCAAATTGAATGTTTATCTCTTTATGTTCTTTCGATTTACGGCGGTTATTTCGCTTCACTTTTTCTCATCTTATTTTCGTTTTATTTTGTTTCGTGTTTTTAGATTCATTGGTTGGCTTGGTTGGTATCACTAAATATACTGTTATGTAGAGCAAGTATTGGCACTTGGGCCAAAAATCAGCTATGCGAAGTAGAAACTGGCCAAACGAACATCATTTTAGATATAGAAGAGAGTCGGGGAAATTGTAAGTATTTTTTATGTTTATTTTCTTTGTGTTTTTTTTACTCGTTTCGCTTTCTTTTTGCACGTTTCATTCGACAATATAATAAATATAGATTGAGATCACTATTTTGCATAGATATTGTTCATATCATTAATTCGTTTCGTTTCACTTTTCTTTCATTTGTGAATGTCGTTTGAAAATGAATCCTGTGTCATCAAATAAAAAAATTGAAAAAAAAAAAAAACAATTTCAATTCACTCAGATATCGATCAACGTACAACGCCCGGCGAATTACCCATTTTCGGTGATCCATTCACAGAAATCGCATTAGAATTGAATTTCCCCAAAGGCAATCAAATATTTCTACTCAATGGAAAATCATTGCAACTTCTGCAGCCACTTGACCGTGATGCTGAAAATCTTAGTCATATTATATTTCAGGTAAACAACACTTCCACATTGCATTTGTGGCCTGAGTAAGCCCATTTAATGAAATAACAAGTCTAATGGTGAACAATTTTCTATTATACACAATTCAACGCTCAATTTAGGTCTCATGCACAATTCGGTCATCAAGACGAAGACGAAACATTCCAGTTATAGTGCGCGTGTCTGATATCAATGATAATGCTCCAGTGTTTCAGAATTCATCGTATGAAACAACAGTGCCCGAGGTATTTTGACAAATCTCTGTTGTTTTATTTCCAATCGTTTTTGTTTCTTGTTTTATTTTTCATTGTCGGTTACTTTATTATTATTTTTTCTGTTGGCATTGATGTTAACTCAATATTAACTAACAATTTAAAATGCTGAATAATTGAAATGCAATGTATTTATTTGCTTCTCTTTTTTTTCTCAATTCATTTTAGTCGACCCAAATCGGAACGACCGTTTTCAAGGATCTTCAAGCAAAAGACGTTGATGCTGGAGTCAATGGTTTAGTTGAATATTTTATTATCGAAGGTACAAACAACTTCACCAGCGAAGTAACGCTTACAGCAAACGATGGATATGGAGTGTTTTCCATACCGTTTCCACATCAGGGTCAAATTACCTTATCAAAAAGTTTGGACTATGAACGCACACAAAAATACTATTTAACCGTTATTGCATCGGTATGTTAACCATTTTCCCGATTGATTGAAAATGAAATTAACTCACTTTTTACCGCAAAATGTTTGTGATAGGATCGTGCCAGAAATGTTTCGGAACGTATGACAGCAACTACAACAGTTGTGATAAATGTTGAAGACTCCGATGATTTGGATCCATCCTTTATCTATGCGTGAGTATCGATTGTGTATCTCAACTATTGCGTGAATAGCTCTAAAAAAATTTCTATTTATTATATAGTGGTTGTGTACTTTTGGATGGTGCATGTATAAATCCCGAATATACGGCATCTGTATCGGTTGGTGTGTTGCAAGGTGTTTTACCCGTTCTACCTGAACGCATTCAAGCGATTGATTTGGATACAATCAGTGCGCCGATTCGATATACATTTGCAAAAGGAACGCCATCAAACTATAATGAGTATTTTTCGATTGATGAAAGTACGGGAATTTTAAAGCATATCAAAGTGGTTGAGGCCAATATCGCAAATGAATTTGAAATTGTGGTCAAAGCTGAAGAGATTTCACCGCAAAAACGTTTCACCACCGCAAAGTTAACAATTAAGGTGAAAAAAATGGACACAAGTCCACCGATGATAAATGCCACAGCTGTTGTTGGTTATGTTGATGAGAATTCAGCAATCGGAACAAAAGTCTTAGATGTCAATGGAAAACCAATTCATTTATCAATTACCGATGATGATTTGAATAATTCCGATCCAAAACCAGAATACATTTTCGAATTGACGACTCCATCGTTTCTCATTTCGAAATCGGGTTATTTGGTTGTCAACGAAGATGGTTTGGACCGTGATCCACCAAATCCTGGTTTATATCGATTCCAATTGGTGGCACGTGAAGCAACATCGAACGCAGCCAGTGCACCATTCAGTTTGACGGTTAATTTAATTGATAAAAATGACAATTCACCGAAATTTCCCATTTACGATCCAGTTAATGTAAAGGCCGGCGAAAATCGACGTTTCGTTGCACAAATTACAGCGACCGATATTGATGAAGGTGAAAATGCCGTACTCAATTATTCAATCTATCATGTTTCCAATAACGGAATGAATAAGTTTATGATCAATGAGAAAACGGGTGTGATCGAAACAAAGGGAAAATTGGTATCAGGCGAACATTACAGTATCACCATTCAAGCAACAGACACGGGCTTGTTGTCGTCGCAAACAATTGTCGAAGTGTATATAACGCCCGGTCCAAATCTTCGACCACCCAAATTCACCAAACCTATTTACGAAGTACATATTAGCGAAGGTGCTGAAATTAATTCAACCGTTGTCAATGTACATGCTGAAGATCCGGAAAATGAAACAATCTCGTATTCAATTGTGTCAGGGGATGATTTGAGACAGTTTAGCATTCATGACAATGGCCTGGTGACAGTGAGCCGGAAATTGGATCGAGAAGATTTGACACGATATCAATTAATTATTCGTGCCGAAGATACAGGCGGTTTGTCCAGCAGTGCGACAATTAATATTAAAGTGACCGATATCAATGACAAAAATCCGGAATTTGATGATCAAGTCAATCCGTATGTGTTTAATGTTGACGAAGGTCGTGAAAATGCATTCGTCGGCATTGTTCATGCACATGATGCTGACGAAGGAATTAATGCAAAGGTTACCTATTACTTGCCGGAAGATGTACCATTCAAAGTAAATGCAACAACTGGCGAAATTCGAACAAAAATTAAACTTGACTTCGAAACAAAATCAACCTTTAAATTCATGATCACAGCAAAAGATGGAGCAACAGTAGAACCTCGAATTGGAACGGTGAGTTGAATTTCGGTTTATTTCCGTTTTTTTATTTAAATTTTTAAAATCTTTCCCGATTTTCCGGGATAATTCAATTTTCTTTTTTCATCAAATTCATCCTTTTTGATTTGAATTTTCAGACAATGGTGACAATACATGTGAGTGATATTCCTGATGAAGTGCCAATATTTACGGATACACAAATCGAAGTGAAAGTTCCGGAAAATATACCAAATTATCATATCACCACTGTTCGAGCGTACGACCCGGACACAGTTAAACAAATCACCTATACACTGCGTGATGGTCGAATTGATTTATTTAAAATAGACTCAAAAACGGGCGAAGTGAAGACAATTCGTAATTTAGATTATGAGACGGATAGAAAACACGAACTGATTATTGGAACGCTTGAAAATATGGGAAATAATACGGGTGATTTTGTGCGGGTTACTGTGGTAGTAGAAGATCGAAATGATGTGGCTCCAGTTTTCATAAATAATTTGGGACCGATTACATTGAACGACGACCAGCCCATCGGAAGTGAAGTGGCCGAAGTAAAAGCAAACGATGGTGATGGATCATATCCAGGAAATGCGGTACGCTATGAAATTGTGGGCAGAGGAAAAGCATTGGCATATTTTCAAATCGATTCGGAAAGTGCTGTAATCAAAATAAAAGAATTACTCAGCAAAGACGATGACACGGAATATCAGATTGATGTTCGTGCCTATGATTTGGGTGAGCCACAATTGAGCGCAATAACATCGCTCACGATCTTTGTTCGCCACATGACTAACGAAGATCAAGCCATAAATAATACGGTTTATTATTCAAAAGAAATGGCCCCAATTAATATGGGACATGCGGAAATGATTGATGTCGGTTTCTCAATGGATGCGTACAAATGCAGCATTTCCGAAGCGATTCGCGTGAATTCAACCATTAAATTTTTGGAAATTGCAAACATAAATAACGTTCGAAAGCAAAATTTACGATTGAAATGTGAAGTAACACATGGTGATGAGAATGAAACATTTGTTGCAAATATGATACAAAATTCGTGCGTCATAAGCTTACGCAAAGCTTTAGATTATGAAATTAAGAAGCAATACGAATTAACAGTTACTATATCGTCCGAAAAGTACTATATAAATCCATTGAAAAATCTAGCAAAAATCAACATTCAAGTGTTGGATGAGAATGACAATGAGCCGGAATTTATAATCGAAACGAGTTTGGGACCGAATTCAAAAAATAATACTTACTATGCAACAGTTAATCCTGAAGCCTTTATCGATACATCTATTCTTCAAGTGAAGGCCATTGACAAAGATTCCGGTGATTATGGAAAAATAAAATATCAAATTTTGGATGAAATTCCATCGGAAAATGAATCAACAAAGCCAAGCAGTTACTTTGTCATTTCGGAAGACACTGGCGTATTGAAAGTGCAGCGCAGTTTAAAATCGATTCAAAATACACCGTTGATATTTTTTGTCGAAGCAATTGATAACAATGGCGACTTAATGGACGAAAAAACAAAACGTTCAAAATCTCGAATTGTAATCAATTTCTTAACCGATGCCAACCGTTTGGCATTGGCTTTTTCTGATTTACCACCGAAATCTTTGCGCGCTCATTCCAATTCGCTAAAACAATTGCTGAGTGAAAAATCAAATGGCAATATTGTAATGATTGAAGGTTTTAGTAATCGACAATATTTGAATGAAAATGGTTTGATGGAAGAGAATCCAGACGCAACCGACGTATGGTTTTACATCATTGATTCGAAAACGGAGAAAATTTTGGATCGAAACGATCCACAGATTCAGGCTCAATTCTTTGAGAAAGTTGCCCAAACCGATATTAACTACGAAGCATCGACTATTGCACGAGCCACCGCACAAGGTATCTTCAGTCCGGTTGCTGTAGTTGATGATCAAATAAAGAAGACGAAAACAGCGGTCATTATAAAAAGTGACGTCTTTCCATACACGCTGATCGCCATTGCATTGCTCATTTTGATTTTTGGCATTTTTGGCATCGTTTACATTTGCATTTCATGGACAAAATATACAAATTTCAAGCAAAGAATGCGACAATATACAGCCGCCTCAATAAATACAACGTCAAGCATTAAAAACTATGATACGATGAATACAATGATGGCAAATAGCCGACCGAATTCACAGCACAGCGATACACAATCACAACTGAAAGAATATGAAACTCAAGTATTGGCCATGGCTGTCAACAACGACGAAGTGGATGATCTACAATTAGACTTCAGTTCAAAGAATCATGCATTTAATTTAGATAATGTCAGTTATATTACACATAAGAAAAATGGTAAATATTCAAACAAACTTTATTGCCATCGATGAAGTCAGCTCAAATTCATTATCGAATTTTCAATTCACAGGCCGAAATAGTCCAACACATTCGTCGGCAACAACAGCTGGAATGTCGACAGTACAACGCAATATGAACAATAATCCAAATGTGAATAGCACACATGCTCATGAGGAGAGCACGTTAAGTCGCAATATGCGATTGCAGTCGAATGCCATTGCACCACATGCCATTAATGATCACTTAAATATAGGTTCACTTACATTAGGAAGAATTAAGCCACATAAAAATAATAGTCAGTATGGGTAAGTAATTGTTTGTTTTTTCTTCTTCTTCGATGACCATCGACATCCATACAAATGCTAATTGAATGAAACATACCATTTCAGTTATGGAGCAAACCATACCGAACGAACTTATGAGAATAATTATAATAATTTCAATACGCTCGGACGTAACAATCGAATACCAGCATCATCACCACCAGCCCAATTTGAAGCATCTCGAATAATGGGCTCAAGACTTAGTTTTCAGGATAATATGCATGACGTATCGCCAGTGTCTAACTATTACTCAAGGTATGTAATCACTAATATACCAACATTTGTGCACCGAACATATTGATTTAATGAATTTTGTTTTTACATGTTCCACCAAATAGGATTTATGACGGTCAAAACCATTCCCGGTGCAATGAAAATGTAACGTTTGGCAAACGAGACTACAACGATTTCAATTTTATGTATTTGAACGGTTTGGATCGATCCGAAGCCGAAACAACTACAGAACTATGATGTACTGCTGCACTAGAAAAGAAAAATCTCAACTCATTTTATTGAACTGATTTAGAACAAAGTGAAGTGAACGATTCAATGTAAAATAGTTTTTATTTTAACAAATTTTAGTTTTACAACCGAACACTCTCTCGAATTATTTAATTTTGCAGATAGATTTTTAAATGAGAAAAAAAAAGAATTTTTATTTATAAAACAAAATGTCAAAGAAATTTTATTAAATCACATGTGTTTTATTTGCTAATTTCATTTGTGGTCTGAAGTATTTTGTATGAAAAATCCGAATGCAGAACTAAAAGGTAAAAGAACATCGATACTCTCATAAAAATGTGCTTCTAGCCTGAACTAATTAAGCAAATTGATGGCAAATCTAAATCATATCGGTGTATTCAATTTAAATTGTGTCTTAAATCATTTCAAGAGCGGTTTATTTGTCAATGTGGATCGTTTTATTTGGCTATTCTTCATTTCGCTGCAGATTGAATAATGCATTTGTTAATTCATTACCGAATGAGTTAATGTAGGCAGGGCTTAGTTCATTCAGTAGTGCATACGGTGTTTCATACGGGTATCCGTTTAAATCTTCAATTTTATCAAAGGAATTGCTAACAATTTGAAATCCATCGTTGGACAAACGAATGGTACACTTCTTTGATTCTAATGTTTCACAGTTCAAATAAATGTCTAAATCAGTCGGCGGGAGAATCGTAGATATAAACAACTGCCGTACGTGACTCTTTATATCGTTTATCACAGCATTTGCCTCATCAGGCCAATTTATAGCATCACATCCATTGTTTGGATTTTGTATCGCAGACATTATTCAACTCTGGAATAAAATACGAACGAATATATCAATTAAATTGTTACCATTTAAATCAAAAATTTAAAGTCAATTATTTACAATTCCAATATTTTCTTCAATAAAATATAATTTTACCACATTGTTAATAAATACATCGATTGACTGCTAGTGTTTGAATTTCAGCTTATAGCCAATTGGATTGAAATGTCACAAACAATGTTAAACTTGCATCATAAAAGTGGTGACATCTATGGGAGACCGAAAAAAGACGATCTGTTTATTGTCGAAGCAAAATAATGTGTAATATTAAATGCTGCTGTCAGATTGTCAAATCGAAGCACATACATTTGCCGCATCGAGTCTTCTCCTATCATTGAAAAAAAAGTATCTCTCCAGTTCGGAAGCTATTTATCGAATTCCAGTTGAAGTGAAAATAGGATATTTGTGAAAATGACGGCCTTTGAGGGTAAGTTTATGTGTAATACATCGTGCATACACCATGACTGATAATTTAAATTTATTTTTTTCCCCGGTGTACAGAGTTTGGTGTGTTGCCCGAAATTGCCAAGGCTGTAGAAGAAATGGAATGGACGTAAGCTTCAAACTAATATATTTGTGATGAAATTCAGCATTTTATTTCATCGATTAACAATTATTATTACAACAATTTAACGCTGTAATTTAAGGTTACCAACTGATGTTCAAGCCGAAGCGATTCCATTGATCCTGGGTGGTGGTGATGTTTTGATGGCTGCTGAAACGGGAAGCGGTAAAACCGGAGCATTTTGTTTGCCAATTTTGCAAACGGTGTATGAAACATTACGAGATATTCGTGACGGAAAAGGTAAAAATGCACCGTCAACAAGCGGTTCGAGTAAAACAATGTGGAAAATGTCAATATATGATCGAAATAATGCAATGGCAATAACGCCAGACGGTCTTCGATGTCAGTCTCGTGAATTTAAAGATTGGAATGGTTGTCGTGCAACGGCCGGCGTAAGAAATCGTGGCAAATACTTTTTCGAAGCAATTGTTTGCGATGAAGGATTGTGTCGTGTCGGTTGGTCAACTCAATCGGCTAGTCTGGACTTGGGAACCGATCGTTTCAGCTTTGGTTTTGGTGGCACCGGAAAGAAATCACACAATCGTCAATTCGATGATTATGGTGAAGCATTTGGTAAAAATGATGTGCTCACTTGTTTACTTGATTTGGAGCGAAGTGAAATTTCTTACTTGAAAAATGGTGTTAATCTTGGCGTTGCATTTCGTATCAATGATAATTTACGTAACGAAACATTCTATCCAGCTGTTGTGCTCAAAAATGCAGAAATTCAATTCAATTTTGGTGAAACACCATTCAAATACAATGCACCACAGGGATATGTTGCTTGCGTTCAAGTGAATGCAGAAAATGTTAAAGCTAATTCCATAAGTCAATCACAATCACAGCAAACACTGCAACCAAAACCAAATGCACCACAAGCAATAATCATAGAGCCATCGAGAGAATTGGCCGAACAAACTCTTGAACAAATTCATAAATTCAAAAAATACATGAAAGAGCCATTCATCAGAGAGTTGCTAGTCATCGGAAAGGTACCGATTCGAGAACAAATCGAAGTGCTTAAAAATGGTGTCGATATCATCGTTGCAACGCCCGGCCGAATTGAAGAATTGATCAATTCAGAACAATTATTGCTCACACATTGCCGATTTTTTGTACTGGACGAAGCCGACGGTTTACTAAAAGCCAATTATGGAAATTTAATTGAAAATATTCATCGAAGAATACCGAAAATGACCAGCGACTCGCATCGTTTGCAAATGATTGTATGTAGTGCAACATTGCATTCATTTGAAGTGAAGAAAATGGCCGATAAACTCATGCACTTCCCGACCTGGATCGATTTGAAAGGTGAAGACGCTGTACCAGATACGGTTCATCATGTCGTTTGCATTGTTGATCCGCAAACAGACACCACCTGGCACAGTCTTCGACGTCATGTCCAAACTGACGGCGTTCATGCTCAGGATGGCGTTAGACCTGGCCTAAATACACCCGAAACATTCTCTGAAGCAATTAAAATGCTCAAAGGTGAATACTGCATTCGAGCCATTAATGAACATAATATGGATCGGTACGTTATAAATAATGATGGCTTTTATTCGCTAGAAACTGCCTTTTTTAATGGTCAGCTTTGTTATTTGTTTTGTCTATTTTCATATAGCGCCATCATATTTTGTCGAACCAAAATGGATTGCGATAATTTGGAGCGATACTTACGACAAATGGATACCAACAAATATTCATGTGTTTGCTTACACGGTGACCGAAAGCCACAAGAACGAAAGCAAAATTTGGAAATGTTCAAAAATAAAGAGCGAAAATTTCTGATTTGTACTGATGTAGCTGCCCGCGGTATTGATGTCAGCGGATTGCCATTCAGTGAGTGCTAATTCAACTTAAATATGATCATGATTGATAAATATAAAATTTTGTATTGAAAATTATTCTCGTTGCATTTCCATTAGTGATCAATATAACGCTGCCGGACGAAAAATCAAACTATGTACATCGAATTGGTCGTGTTGGTCGAGCTGAACGTATGGGCTTGGCTATCAGTTTGGTTTCTAGTGTTCCCGAAAAGGTGTGGTATCACGGTGAATGGTGCTCATCTCGCGGGCGTAATTGCTGGAACACTAATTTGATAAATGTCAAAGGATGTTGCACTTGGCTCAACGAAAAAAATGTAATTACTTCTTTGTCCGCCTTTCAATTGCGAAAAATCACGAACAATTAAGAATATTTTTATATTTTGATTTGTTATAGATGTTGGCAGATATTGAAGATCATCTTAATATCACTATCACACAAGTTGATAAAAATCTAAAAGTACCAGTTAATGAATTTGATGGAAAAGTCGTTTACGGACAGAAATTACAAAACAGAGGAACAAACTACCAAGATCATGTGGAACAACTAAAACCAATTGTTCAAAATTTGGCCAAACTCGAATCAAAAGCCCAACTTGCATTTTTGAAACATATGAAAATACATTAGACGTCTTTACACTATTCACAGAATACAAAACATAAATTTGGAATAAATAAAATTATTACTTTAAATTACTTTGCCAATTTATTCTGCATGTACAGTAAGTCGTAGCCCAGTTTCTAAAGAGAAGGAAAAATCAAACAAAATAGGAACTTATTTATATAAATAGGCTCACTGTTATTACTCCCACAGATGACAACTTCATCCGTACCCGTACGGATGCGGATATATATTTTATCCGTATCCGATAAACTAAGCTTGCGATGGGATCCGTGAAAAATTCTTAATACATCCGTTGCTATTTCTGTATTTACGTATAAAATATTTTTACGATTGCATTGAATGTACGTATCTTACGAATATTCTCAGTGAATATTCCATATCAGAAAATACAGAAAAATATCGATATTTTGTACTACACCCAAAGGATTAGCAAGCGGGAAATTGAGATTGGACCTTAATTCACCGAATTCAGCCATAATTCAGGCCATTATTACGCTCTATCATACATTTGTGGAGGCAAACTTCATTTTTGAGTCGATTTATATGGATATGTTGAAAATGAGCGAGGAAAATTTTTTTTTTCAGGTGTGTTGACATTCAATGAACAAATCTATTGAATATATCGAGGAGAGAGTATATTATTCAGCGCTTATGGCTAAGTAATGTCTGAATAAAAACATACTCTTCTCTCGATATTTTCAATAGAAATATGAATGTTCTGGCAGATTTAAATGAACACGGAAAAATTATATATTCGTCTCAGCACGAATAAGTCGACGTACACGTATGAGAAGAGTTCTTGTACTAACAAAAAGGTAAAAAATGCGTACAATGTACTACATTAACAGGATAAAAAACCATTGTTCTTGAATCTCTAGGCCCAAAACGCGTTAAAAAATGATTTTTGCGCATTTTAAAATTTTGAGCTGATTAGAATATTTTAATCCGCATAGTATGCGGAAATGAAATTTGGAACTACATCAAAACTTACGTTGAATAAAAGCAACCTGAACTTATCTACGTATATTGCGGTGTACTTTCAGATGTCAACATTTTACGTTTTTTTTTTGGAATACTTTGAGATCAAATCTTATATAATATTGTGTTTAGAATAAAATCCAATAGACATACTAAAATTTTTGAAAGGTTAGAATATTTTTATCTGATTTTAAACGATTTTAAATCTTTTAATCCGAACAAAAATTAAAACTAGTATTCCATATTTGTTTATTTATTTCGAAAATTTTATCCCAAAATTCAATTCGCTCAAGCTCTGGATTTGTTTTTAGGAAAATGTCTTCATTCGTTACATCGAAATAGTTGAATTGTCTGGTTTGGGATGCAACAAATTCATTTGGTTCATTTTCCGGAATTGGATTTCTATTTTTAAAGACAAAACTATATTAAGTAAAATATAATGTTAAAGATCTCTCATCAGTTTACGTGAATTTTGCGAAATTTGCATAAAAATTCGTAATATTTCGGATAATGTCGCGCTGCATCGAATTTTCTTTCAGTGTTTGATATGCTTCATCTGGAAAAATGTCAGTGGTGGCAGAAAATCGAAAAATGTAATACAATTGATCGGTATGAGCTGCATAATCCGTTGTGAAATTGCTGCGCTTGGCTTTTCTCCAACTAACATTCCAATCATTTTCAACTGAAAACCTGAAATATTTTCGATATGTATTATAAAATTTGTAAACGTTTCGTTAAATCAATACAGTTTACTAACTTGCTGAAAAATGTGCGTCCTTTTGATTTTGCCGCTTGTATGCGGGCACTCAAAAATATTCCATATAAAAAATTGATATCGGTCATCAACATATTCATTTTGTGCAATGTTTCTGCATTAACCTGCTTTCCATCGAAATAAAAACGTCGAACTTCCGTCGATATATTTTTATAATTCTATAAGTAAAATGATGGTTCAAACTTTGACAATAAACTAAGTTAGCAACTAACATCGGAGTTGAAGTCTAATTGGGCCATTTCCAGAGGGAGACCAATTTCAAAAAATTTATCAAAATTTGTTAAGAGCTCTGGACAATTTTCCTCCGCAGAAAGTACAAATTCCTAATTAGTAGGAGATACAAAAATGTAACGTTTTTTATCTATTTTAACGTTGAAAAATGTAACGTTTTCACCCATTTCGGTGGTAATTTTCGTGTCAATGGAAAGTTGATTATATGCATAGTTTCCAATAAAATTGTTCATTTATTACGTTGACATTTTACAATTTATCGTTTAAAGAATGAAAGTATGTGTAACATGAGATTCAAATGTTCGATTTTGTTTACATAAAATTTATATCAACAATTCTATCGACTGTTTTCGCTGTTTGATTGCATTTTGTATCACTTATATTCATACATATGTCCAGCATCATTAAGAAGGCAAGGATCAGTTGAATATTGAACATCACACATCGACAAAATTACAGTGTATTGACAAAAATGTTTCAATACACAAAATCACAACGAAATATAATGAGTTGCCATTTAGATTTGTTTTCTTTTCAACTGGAGTACACACAAAGTTTGTATTCACATTTTTCAGTTTTCAACAGAATTAATGTAGCAAAGGAATTTTTTGTGCTTCGATTTAACATGTATCACAAACAAACAAATCACTCTATTCAATATTTAACGGGATTGATTTTTTTATTGCGGCCAAAACTATACTGAGAAGTGCCGCCAGTTTAGAAAGAGATGATTTTTGGTATACAACAACAACAATCTCATACGATTGCATTCTCCGTCGCCTAAAATTCAGTTGGACAAATTCAAAAAGTCAAATATCGCTACGAATACAGAGTTTGTGTGTGTGTGAGGGAAAGTGATATAAACAAATTCATTCGGTGTTTCGGTTTGAAACATGCAATATTGAACCGGTCGCGCATATAAACAATTGAAAGTTTGTACACACACAAATGCACAACAGAGAGAGTCACACATTCACAAGGATAATTATGTGGCCATTTTAGTGTCAAACGGAATGTAGAGTATATCCATGATTTCCAATCGAATTTTCATACGCACGAGTTTCTTTGTTCTTATTAGCGGTCAGAAAATGTGCGTTGTTTTTGTTTTTTTCAAACAAATTAAATTCAAAATGACAACCGATTTCAGTTTTCAACATGATAAAATAAGACAAATGGATTTTAGTGCTAATATTGTATCAGTGGCTTTTTTATGTCACAGCACAAAGAAACGAAACATGTGAGAGAGACAATATAATATGTGTTTGTGTTTCATCAATATGCACAACAATGGCATGCATTCCGTCGCGATGGATTGATAACGAACAATCGACCGCCAAAAGTGAACAATTTCGCACTTGTCCCGTTATGCCGATTCCAACTGAAAAACGTTCGATTGGATATGACAGATATGTATTATTTGGCGAACACTGTACTAGGAGTGGTGCCCAGTTCTCGCAATCCGCTGACCAATCGAATGAACAAATACACACTGGACTATTACTTGTACGGCCATCGAGATGAATTGTGGAATTTGGTTTTCGACATGGATAAAATCAAACAAATCGGCAAGCAGAAGCGGTTTCACTCGCAAATCATCACCAATAGTGTTTGCGTGTCAATATTGTACGAGAAGCCAGCGAAGGCTTGGGTGGAAAATTCGGAACAGGCCACATTTAACAACATGACATATGCTAGTGCCATCGATCCGAACGAGAAAACGTGGGTGGCCGTTGTGCGTCGCCATATCAATTCAAACATTGAGGTAAATTAAGTTTGTTATTACAATTTTTTTTTTCGGAACGTGATTGAAATTTGACGCTATTATTTAACAGGAAAACATTAAAATATCCAATCCACGATTTCATTGGCAAACCGAGCAGAAGAAGAGAGATCGAAAGGCAGATCGATTGACCTGGTGGTTTGTTGAAGAAGAACAAATGGATTTCAAGTCGTACCCAGTGATACCATCGCCGCGTGGATCCACATGGAAAGCGTACATTCAGCATCGCATCAAAATGCTACGAATGGGAATGCAAGCATATGCGACTCGAAAATATGCACGATTGGATCTCGATCACCACATCAAGGCTACCAAAACAAGTGATAAAGTTGCCATGCGGGTAACGAACAACAAACCGTCTTGGATTTGGATTGGTGCTGGAGAAATGGCACCAAATCGGCCATGGGGCATAAAGAAGCGGAAAAGATGCCCAGGAACGCGTAAATTGGCGACCAGCTTCAAGAAACAAGAGCACACAAAGGTCAGTTTTCAAGATGAATGGGGTACATCAATAACGTGTGCCAATTGTCACGAGCGATTTCCAAGAGAAACCAAAAATCATCGATTCAAAATTTGTCGAAATTGCATACCAAAACCGATTGTTGGACAACCACCGATAATTGTGACGAATTTGAGCAGACAAGAGCTTAAGAAAGAGCGAATTGTAGAGAGAGCAATCAATCCAGATCGTGAGAACATCGAGCGTTTAGTGCCAAAGATAAAAGTTATCTTCAAAACTTGGTCATTAACTCGAGAATACCATGAATTGGGTGATGCTGCACCAGAAGACATGATTGAGCACGTAGTCATTTGGCACCGTGACATTGTTGCCGCAAAGAATATTTTATTCAAAGGTATGTGCATAATTGTATATTGTATTAATATTAAATTGAGAATAGAGAGCAGAGCGTTAGGTGTTCAGTGTTCATATTAATTGATTAATGTTTTGTGTTTATTTCTGATTTTATAGGAATGTGTCGTCTTTTTGGCATACCATTGCCCGATTCGTTGAAGAGACCTGACAATCCACACCATGCGAACAATGTCAACTGATAGCAGCATAAAATCAACAATAATCATAAGAAGAATATTTTAAAAATTTTGTTAGTTACTAGGCGTGAATAGTTTAAATCCAAGGATTTCTATTGTACCCTTGACCGCAGTACGGGTCCCTATTTAGGGCTGTGCGGAATATAAAAGAACCCGTAGGTGAGTACTTTATTGAATTGATAGTTTATTTTTGCATTCAATCTAACTGAATTGTTTTTTTACTTTTTTTCCTTTCCATTTTGACGGTAAAATTGACTGAAACTACACATAAATCCAACCCCAATATTGACCGTCAACATATGCCCGATAATGGATGAATTTGCCACAACAAATGTTTGTTTCCTACTATAGTAGGATATACAAACCATATGCCATATGTGCCACAACCAAATTTTTTTTATCAAATTCTATTTCAAATTAAAATTTAAACCGAATATATACATACTTTGGGTGAACTGCTGAAGAGTGTATCAAATTTATTTTCAAAGCTTTGATTTGTCAGGATATTAAAAGGTGCCACTGTTATAAATGGATCAATTGCATTTGGTTCTTTGAAAAATAACGATAAACAAATGATTCTAATAAAAAGGTGTTAAGGTTGTGCGCGAAAGAGTACCTTCAATGCAAACAGTCCAAATACGATTAAAAGTCTTACGACTGAAGCCTGGATTGTAATCATCTTGAAATGTCATTTTGGACAAAAGTTTTCCATCAATTTCATTAAGAAATTTTATGAGATCTCGTTTATTCGAAGCGGGATATCGTAGATTTTCCGCTACACATGTTCATTATGGATGAAAAAAAATCAACGCAAAGCGAATTTGAGTATTTATGAAACATTCTCAGTCCGTTTAGTTCTTTAAAAGGTCCGTTCAGCACACATAAACAATTCTTAGTTGATATAATTTTTTGAAGAGTACTGTTCGTGACAGCTGTCTTACTATCTTTTTCTGAAAATCATGATAGCAACTTATGACCACTAGCCAAAAATTTACCTAAATTATAAAGTATAGATGAATGATCTTGATGTCTTGGTAAAAATGGATTCAATGCTGAGCCACTCATCATGATTGCCTTGTGAAATAAATGACTAGCAGTCGGTGAAATCATATGAAGATTTACTGATGCAGCACCTGTTATAGAAGTTTTAAAATCACATCACACCAATTAATTTTAAATCAATTGAATTTATTTATCACCTGAACTGTGGCCAAAAAGAACGATATTACTTTTATCGCCGCCGAATAGTTCAATATTTTCATTGACCCACTCCAAAGCACGTAATTGGTCCTTCATTGCCATATTACCTGAATACTCGGGTAATCCCAAAGATAGGAAACCATGTGGACCGACTCTGTAATTGAATGTCACCTGAAAAATTAAAAAAAAAAAAACAAAAAAAAACAAATGTGAGAGAAAAATATATATGATTTAATCATTTCACATACAACAATAACATTTGTTTCCATAAAAAAGTCAGCGCCATAAAAACGTGCCGAACCGAATGAAAATTTTCCACCAAAAATATAGAACATCACCGTTAATTTTACGCTTTTGTTCATCGCTGAACATTCCAATGGAATGAACAGATTTAAGTACAAACAATTTTCGTCTCCAAAGAAGATTTTCTTTTTTAAATCGGGTTGAACGCAATCGTTACCAAATTCGAATGCGTCAAATGTACCGTTAAATGGGTCGATCTTCTGTGGTGCCTAAGAAATGACATATAGAAATTAAAAAGAGAAAAACCGCGTAAAAACATAATTATTTACTTTGAATCTATGTTCTTTTATTGGTGGTTTAGCAAATGGTATTCCACGAAATGAATAATACAATTGTCTATTGAACAATGTAATATTTGGTTTCCCTCGAATCAATCCAATTCGAGTTTTGATTGTACACAATGGCTTATCGTTTTGATCATTTGAAAAACTGCTTACTATAACATAATTATAGAAAAATAAAATCAAAATTATGCTTATTGACGAAATCACTCTCAAACAATTCATATTGATGAACAATTTTTATTTTGTTAAACGGGAAGAAAAAAAATGTTTCCTTCTCTAGAACAATGCAATAGACTAACTGAATTCATATATACAATTTATCAAGGCATAATGCAAATGTGATTTTTTGCGATAAAAGTAAAAGATAAAAGTTTAATTATTGCATGTGCACACTGCACACACATATTAATGACCATTTTAATGAAAATAATTGTGAAAATCGTCTGGTTAAGTAATGAGATAAAATCTCAGGGAAATTCAAATAACGACACTTTTCCATTATAATAAAGATATATTAATGGAGATGGCTTTCAGGCAGTATCAATTAGTGGTTCTAACATCAGTTTGATAAAAAGAATGTATTATATAAGTGGCTTCAAACTCTATGTCTTTTTGTATTACTGTATTTCTTGGAAACACTCACTCTTTTTAAAACATATGTTCTTTTATATTGATGAGGAATTCTTTATATTTTATATCGGCATTTACCATCATTATGTTCAAATTTATTTTTATTATATGTGCGTCATTAGAATAGTTTTCATTGCGGGTGGTGGTATAATAGGCTAACATTCCGTGAATGCTTTTTAATTTGAAAAACATGTTTACGACTGAAAAATATCACCCCATATGCGACCTATTATTACAATTTATAAAATTTTGAATATAAAAGAAGAACAGTAATTAAATTCATTTCAATTCAAATTTCTTAACACAACTATAGATAAGAAAAAAACGAGAAAAATGGCAAGTTCATCTGTTACTTTTGTTGTCATCTTATTGGTTGGCATGTGTATTGCAACTCAAAATAAAGGGAAAGCATCGGGTGTGGACAACCGTTCACTTTCTCAGAAGCTGCGAGTTCCTGCTAAGCAATCACTAGACAAATCATCGGCGGGCTCTCAAGATTCAACATCTTTGCCTCTAAATGATAACATAGTTTCACGATCAATACTATCTGCTGCTCAAAGTTTTAAAAAGAAGGCATCACCAACAAACAATCTACCCGATAGTTCTCAAAAACAAGAGCAAATTCCATCGATTGAAAGTAAAAATTCAGCTGAAAAGAAGAAAGAACTTCCTCGCAACCCTCACTATCCACCATGGTTTGTCTCAAAACATTAATTTTTTTTGTAATTGTTCTCCAATGAAAAATAAAAGTTTCAAAAATAAATTTTACAAAATCATTGAATTTATGGTATTCATAACAAGTTTGAGTATATTTTTTAAAAAATCCCAGCTTAAGGTTCTTTAAGGCCTAACAGTCTCTCTGAGACTTAAGTCAAAGCATAACGTTAATCACAGCTGGGTAACGTAGCTACTTCACTATGGTCGTCTGTGTTTATCACGGGGGACGGCAGTCCCCCAAGTGACGCAATACCAACATACGTATGAAATATGTATATTTTGCGTCACTCTATATATACTGTAAAGAAATGAAAATCGATACCGCTGATTTTTGGAAAAGGGGTTTTGCATATTTTAGTAGTGCTCGGGCACCAAATTAAAAATCCGCAAAAAAAATTAAAAAATTTCAAAATTTAACCGCTAGGCGGCGCTTAAAAAAAAAGGTAAATTTTTGGTTTTGTCCATTTTTGACCACCCAAACCAAAAACAAATTTCCGAAAAATGACATATTCGGAAACTGGAGTTCGGGTAGATAGTGTTGAAAAAAAAAATTGTTGGAATCGATCGAAAAGTGTCCGAGATATGATCATGTCAAAAAATCTTACGAAAAACACGAAATTTTTGAAATGGTTTGTTTGTGTGTCCGCAAATTTTTTTCCGTAGTTTTTGACAAATCGCCGGAGACCGATTTTATTCGAAAGTAGATGGAAAACTGAGCATACATGTCTCTTCGAATTTTTGGATTTCGTCGCGCAAGTGCCTGGGGTCTAGGTTCGAAAAAAAGTGGAATGCACTTTTTCAGTTTTTCTTCGAATGGCCTACTTTCTGTGCATATGAAAGGTGAGGTAATGATCTATATGTCGTTGGAAAGGTACGAACCTCAGCTATCCAAATCTGAAGTCAGATTGGAAAAATTTTCGAAAATGATCGCTAGATGGCGCTGCATGTGTTGTTTTTTTGGAAAAATGACCATGACTTTTTTCACACCAACCAAAATTAAAAAAATTACAGCATTAGTTTTCTGGTGGAAAACTGAGCGTTTGTTGGGGACCAAATTTGTGATGTTTTGGTGTATGTGTCATGTCTGGGAAAATTCGTAACGAACCAATTTTTTTGTCCAAAGTAAAAAAAAAAAATTTCGGAAATTTTCGATTTTTGGAGAATTTTCAGATTATGGTATACCGAGTGTTTTTCAACAATAATACGTCATTTGTGGCTCTTTAGCAAGACATTGAGCTCCCCTTGAGCATACAGCGAAGAAATTTTTTTAAAAAAATCAGTGGAGATGGTTTTACCCATTTATGACCATACGATTAAAAATTGGGGAAAAATCGATGAAAATCGTAATTTTGTTAAAAAAAATGTGTGAATAACGATTTTTTTTATCATAGATCGAAAGAGCACCCAATTTTAAACCAATGTGCACATTTTTTAGAACCAACATTTTTCAAAATTGGTCAAAGTTGAAAAAAGCGTGTATTTGGCCGACCACTTTTTTAAGATTTTTTTAATAATTGTTTTGATTTTTAGAGATAATCGGCCTGGAAACTACACCTTGAAATGATATTTGAGGGTTTTATTCAATTGAAGAAAATGAATTAAAACATTGGTACAATTAGTTTTGAATAGATTTGGTAACCATACATACTAACTACAAATTCACCGTAGTTTACAAAAACAATTGAAAATGCAAACAAAAATTTCGAGAGCAAACAGAAAACTCTAATCCAATGTAAGAACAAATGATAAAAGTATGGCAGAAAGCAAAAAAAAAAAAATTGGCGTGCATTGCAAGAAATCGATTAATATAAATATTTTTGATTTCCGATGTGATGAATATCAATATACGAATGCGATAAAAGGACATAATTAAAGAATATAAAAAATTGAGGCGAGCATAGCGAGCAAAAATTTTTTGTGGATTTCAAACAGAAAATTTAAATTTAATGTTAAAACAAATGATATAAGTAAAAAACCCTTCTTTGGAAGTTCTCACTGTGACGCAATACTGCACATCAAATCTGAAAATGATCTGATATAAATTTTCAGTGACGCTTGCAATCAAATACACAAACAATTTTTATATTGCGTTGCCTCTTTGGCATTATCACAATGAAATTTTCATTTTTAATTTTCTAAGAATGAGAGAGGCAACGCAATATAAAAATTGTTTGTGTATTTGATTGCAAGCGT